CCCTTTCGTTTTCCACCTCGTTGTATTCAGTAAGTTCTATTTCATCTCTTTTATATATTCCTCCCACAATCCTGCCTTGGACTGCGCATATTCAAAGAACCGTTTTGAGTTTTCCAGTGCATCTTATTTCTTGAGTCTATTTTACACCAGGTTTGCGTCTTCTGCAATTTACATGACTTCCCTGTTTCCCTATAAAACGTTAAGGCGACCCAAACCTTGGCGATTTTCAGCAGAAGCACTTGTGTCTACAGGTTTTGGTAGTCACTATCCTTAGTCATGATCTATTTGCCATCCATATCTTCCAGTTCCATGAAACGTGTTTTGTAGTAAAACGTGCTATATTATATTGTACTCTTTGCACTTTTTCATCGTTTTTTTTTGGGTATTTTGTCAATTTTAACCTTTGTATTCCGTCTTAACTTGCAAATGATACTGACGTAATCGAGGTTTTCACGCTTTGAAAAACCACGGAAATTTCAGGGACTGCTTCGTATTCACCAACAGGGGTTTTATTACAGGCACTTATTTGAATTTGTGCAAATATTCACACAGAAGTGTGTGCTGTGAGTTGCGCTTAGTTCATAACCATTTGATTCATGCTTTGGTAAGATAGCACTAAGCTGTTTAGGGCCACAAACTGTTCAGCACAGACCGCAGTTGTGAACAGAGAGTTAAACTCTGGCCTTTCGCTATAAACCAGCAAACCACACTGTCTTCTATCAGGTTCATTAGAAGAGTATTCACTCATTCGTTCATTCATCCAACCATCCACTCGTCCATCTACTTATCTATTTATCTCCCTATCTGTCTATTTACGTATCTATAAGTAGTTCTTCCTTCTCACCCGATAGTTGACTTTCGCCAGTTTGCGTCACCAACCAACTGTAACAAACCTCTACAATTTCTACACGAAAAATGCAGCAGTTTCTTGTCCCTTAGCATGCACCCATACCAAAACCAGCTATACCCACTAAAAAAAGGCTCGACCTAGTCCAGTGTTACATGGATAGGAATTGATAAAGTTGGAAAAACAATATGCAGGTTCAAAATGGCATATGGTAGCTGCCTCGGGTATGTATATTCCATTTTCAACAATGGTCAGGGTAGAAAACTGGCCCATTCGGTTATCGTGGATGGCGGTATAAAGTAAGCGACCGGCTAACCGCGCCACAAGTGTGACTTTTGGCAGGGTGAGTAAGGGCCCCAGAACATGGTTTCCGATTGCAGGACACCAATTCAACTGTCCAAGTCTGAAGAAAGCACCAGCCAAAATTGATCTCGTGGGCGTGTATCAAACGTTTCTCGGCTAAAGTGAGGTTTCAGGAGTTTCTAAATTTCTGAGTGCATTGCGATAGAATTGCAGCTAGGACTGATTGTAAGAGAGGTTATTGATAACTGTACCTGCCTGCGCAGTTATTTTTGCCTTCGCCAAAATTCGCCACTGAACTACCGCTTCTTCCAGAACCGCCTACAATCTTATGAAAAAGCAATTACGGATTGAAAGATCATCTTTGCTGCACAAATGTGACCTTCATGCCGTTAAAATTAGTTCCATGTCTGAACAATTTATGTCGACAGGGATTGTGGTAGCATCTGTTCAGACACCTTCGATGGAGAACTTTATTAGATGATTAGCTTACAAACTATATTTTTGTAAACGCGGCATGAGGAGAGTCTCAGACAGACAGTTTTAGAACTAGTCTTCAAATGCGGAATACGGACATCCCAACCCATGAGACACAGCTTTCTGGTTATCGGCCCCCTAACGCATTGAAGAAGATAAAATACGACGCACTAGGTACTACTGGCATGCCAGATTCTAACGAAGCTAGCCTCAATCAAGGGTAAAATACATTTTCTCTTCGAGATACGCGTGGCCGGCTTACTAGGAACTTTGAAGACCTTCGTTTGTTTGCAATGATTTCTTCATTATCTGATAAACCTCCTGGTTAATAATCGGATGATGATGTGACATGCCGTCCTATGGTCGACTGATCGAATGATCTACAGCACGGCTTAATTCCGTACGACACTGACACCGATCTCTCTGAAATCGAGACCAAGCGCCGTCAGATTGCTGAACATGAATGATGGTAGCGCCCAAGTTTTTGGGGTTGTGGATTCCATATACGCTTTCGCGTTTCCACCAGCTAACCCACATATTAGTTCATTCATCTGAGGTTCACTGTACTCTGTAACTCATGTTCCTTGCCTTAAGAATGGAAATCATGAAACCGTGTTTCTTGTTTTTCAACTTAGGAGTAGCTGAGAGCAAAATACTGAATAACGACTAAGGGTCCTGGAAGCAGTTCGCCACCTGTATTCAAGAAGCATAATGTCTGATTAAATCTTGGTGTTTTTTGCAGTTAATGTCTTTCACTTTTGCCACCTCAGGGTAGAAATTCTAACCATCGTTATGTTTACAGCATGTTTTGCATGACGATTTACTACTTATTGTCATAAAAGTTAACAGCTATGCTTTACTAGCGAACAGTGCCGTTTTGGAGGTATTTTGGAAGTATTCTTTAGTCCTACAAGGTTTTCAGTGATATGCCCTTTTATACTACTTAAATGGAAGGTATTAGCATTTAAGGTGGTTTTCGTTTGGAGGGTCTCATGAAGCTGAGACCGAGCACTTACGTGGTTACTGCCTCATAGTGGCGACACTGTTGCTCACCAAAAGCACCTTTTTTCTCACTTCGCGTATCTACAATAACATTTTAGCATATTTTGTTAGGTGACAAATATGGAAGGCTGTGTTGGACAACTCGCAGTATTTCGACACAAATCAGACCTTAGGTTTTAGCAAAGCGGCATTATATTGCATCGCATTTGATGAACATGTGTTTTCTTCACCTTGAGACCATTGTTCTCTGTATGAAGTTTGCTGCTTACCTGAGATTTCGGTTGATTTAGAGAGGAAAAGGTTTTATGTTCAACTAATATGCACCGGTTTAGAGCTGATTTCGGCTATTAACCATGATACCGACTGTCATAGCCAAAATTAAATTTTTCATATCACTAATTTTTAGCGATTTCATTCAAGGAAGCTTAGTCAGAACTTGGAGGTCCGTTACTTCTTGCAGGTTTAACAACAGATGTGTCCTGCAGTCAGTTGATCTAAAGACCAAAGTATACATATCCACTGCCGCGTTTGGTAACTAGTCTGCCAGTTTCTCACTTGCGTGTGAAGTAATTTTACGATTTACTCATTGGCTGTCTGGTTGTCGGGCTAATTACTCCGAAACAAAAACATGTAGTGGATGTGGCTGTAAGAATGCCTAATGTGTTTTGTTATAGACAGAAAACTAACCATAAAGATACTGAAAACTCTCTGACAGTCCACTACCGGTCTCAACGTTCTTAGAGCTTATCAGGCGGATGCAGTCCCCGAGTTACAATCCAGCCAACCTTATGTTCCACTCGAAAACAAATTGTACGAAATTCGCAAGTGAAATACAATCATTTGCCCACCAAATCGGTTTTGGCGGGAACTGAGCTGAATCACACTGGAGTCCCTCGTTTGTAACAGTTTTCAAATAAAATTGCTTCACAAAGGCCATCTCATTTATCAGTTAGTGGACGGGAACTCGGTGGCTGTGCCTACCTTCTGAGACTCAAGAAGGGTGAAATCGGTTGTGAGCTTTCGGAAATCTCGTGAGTAGTTCCTCCAAAGAAAACGTACTGCGGTATCTCGAATATTGGACCGGCTGAAACATTAGATGGCTTTTGTGCAGCACATTTGGGAGATCTACCTGGGAGTCATTTGAGTCTCCAGTTATAACTGACTTGAATTTGTTTTGCGAATATGCTGGTTAGCTTTAATACCTAAATGCACACGCATTTGTAGGTAAATATGCAAGCCCTTAATCTTGATATAAACCTGAAGGAATTAGGGGTCTCTTCTCAGCCATTGGTGGATCCGAATATGATGATGGAATACAGGCCACTACGTGAAAGTGGCCTTCCAGTGTCTCTGGTGTGGTGGTCTCTTCGAATGTAAGGTGGCAAACATCACAATGCAAACCTCACTGTACTTTGTATGTAAATGTCGCTTCTCGTGATATTATTGCGAAAGAAAGATGCTTTGAACGCCACAGCTTCTTGTTTTACGATGAAGTTTATCTTCTGGTTGTCAGGGTTGAGAGCTTTTTACCAACTTCACGTTGATGACATCAAATAAAGCAGCATCTTGAGGCTCATTGTTTCTTTTACAAAAACTTTGCAAACAAGTGCGCCCTACGTGCAAGACAATGAACAGCATGTATTTGTTTGGATGATCCATGCGTACAGAAAAAAAGATTCACAAAATCGGGTTAATAGACGAATCATTTATCGGGAAAGATGAGGTTCTTAAACTACGAATAATTCAGGATGTAATGGATTTCATTTAACTGATGGGGTGAGGTGATCCCAGCAGGTCGTTGGTAGCGTGATGAGATCTGTGGATTTTCATTCAAGATTTACTCCTGTAAACGAGGCCAACTTATGCCGAAAAGCCACGAACTGTGCAACCGTTTCATTTTGATTGGGGATAATCAGCAGTGTGAAACTCTAGGGATTTTCCAGTCCGCGCGCTTGCGGCTTTTCAGAATGGGCTGGTTTCATTCATAGAACGAAAAATGATTTAAAAGTTTCCAGCAGAATCATAGTGGAATATCTCTCCATCTGTATGTGCCCACCCATTTGGATTCATTTTACATCTGTGACATCGCATTCCTTCTCACTTCCTGGATGAGGTATGACCACAGCAATTGGTAACCCGAAGTTTTTCTTTTTTCTCAACTTACTCTAATGGAATATCTCACTTTACTCAGCCACTGAGTAAATTGTTTAACATGCCGACACAGTTCGAACTTTATTATCGTAAGGTTACAATAGTGTACTGTTTCTCTGAACAGTAATAACAATAATGCTCATTGCCGTTCGGGTCTGGTGTCAAAACGTTCCATCTTCATTGCTTTAGATTAAATGTTGGCAATTTTTTTCTCGAATTTCAGTGCTTTTGATCACGTATTTGAAACTATTTCTGTTAGCCAAAACACGAAGTTTTTGGTTTATGCGTCATTTTTGGAAATATACAACGAAGAAATCAGAGACTTGTTGGCTCGTGACGTGAAGACAAAACTAGATCTGAAGGAACACCCGGAAAAAGGAGTTTATGTTGCTGGCCTGTCCGTGCACAAAGTGAGCAGTGTTGACGAATGTCAGGTAAGTTTTTGAACGGTTTATCGATTTGGAACTGGGGCTATTACCTGAATTTTCTTAATCTTAAATATTCCTCGTGGATATTCCAAAAATCGAGCAAACCATGGCCAGTACGACATAGGGATTTCAGGTAGTAAAGCATGTGCTATGATTTGTCTTACATTATACTATACTACATGCTATTCTATATTAAAAATCAAGAAAGTCTTCACCTTTTAGCACCTTCCGGTGCTCCATGCCATCCGGGGGAAGCACGAGGACCGGGATAATGCCAGGTTGCCCAATCGAAAGGCAGAAGTCTGGTTCGAACCATGGACTTTCTGGTCAGTAAATTCGCGCTCTAACCACTTGGGCCATCTCGCCATGCTATACTAGAGATATAAATTAGTCGGAAAGAATGCAACAAATGAAGTTCGGGTTTCTACCAATTTATAGTGGGATATAGATCAATAGGACTCGAAAACCAAAGTCCAACTTGCCCTAACTGACTCCCTTGCGTTTTGTGTCAGAAACACTGGGGTGTTAGTGACCACTTACAATCTCATTTACAACACGGTTGTAGAAACTCTGATAAAGGTCACTCATGGTAGCCGATAACCCTGCACCTCACAGTGCGATGTTCAGTTTCGTCTATCTTCTAACTACGTCAGGAGGTTTTTGTTTTGTTGGGCGCATGCTTTTCATCAAGTGAATGTTTTGTGGCTTTTTGAAAATAATAGAAAACGCTACAAAGATACTTTTCTATATTACAGGTGATCATGGGGACTGGATGGAAAAATCGCTCGACAGGTGCGACTCTGATGAACGCCGAGAGTAGCCGGTCTCACTCTATTTTCACCATACACCTGGAAATGATTGATCGTGATCCGCAACTCACCTCAGAGAAGATCAAGGCTGGCAAACTGAACCTGGTCGATTTGGCTGGATCGGAAAGGCAAGCGAAAACGGGTGCTGCTGGTGATCGTCTCAGAGAAGCCACGAAAATAAATCTGAGTCTGTCTGCTTTAGGCAACGTCATTTCCGCATTGGTTGACGCAAAAGTGAAGCACATTCCATACCGTGATAGCAAGCTTACTCGTTTGCTGCAGGTAACATTATAGTGTTTTAGATTAAATTCCATACCTTTTTCTTTCGAAGTGAGATTGTGCTAGCACTGTGCGAAGGTTACCTGCTTATATAAACACTTATATGAATGCCGGATCATCTACTTTCCTCGTCTTCGTCGAATTTTTAACCTACCTAGCTCGCAGCTCTCACACTTGGCTCGTAGTGATCTGTTGAGATAATAAACTTGATTGGTTATAAAGCTGTAGATTGCTTGGCCATATGGTTCGAACGATGTTAGGACCAATAACGATCTTTAAGCATTTTTTGTTTTCATGCCAGAACATTCGTTCAGAACTCATCGTTCTCTCATGCAGGATTAGAGGGTGAATTATGGCAGGAAAGCTAACTGTTCAAGCAGTTTACGAAGTAACGGTCGATACCGGCGCAATGTAGACAGGTTAGCAGCCTTGTAAGCTGTTTGGACATGAGAGTTCTTTACGGGGCGTTTCAACGATTCTTGGTTACATTTGAACTAGAGCCACCAAAGATTCGTTGTAGACGGAATTCACCGTGCAGTAGGTCATTTGTGCGTGCAACTCAATTGGAATAACCGTTTAATAAGGTCTTTAACATTGGAAGCATGACTGTCAGCCTATACGGTGATCACTATTTCAATTTCGATCAGTTGCCAGATGATTTAAGAAGCCAATGAAAAGAAAGTGCTGATTGTGACCAGTAATGGGGAATGAGTAGCACTTGGAAGGAAACTCACAAATCACCATGAGATTCCAATAATACCCCTTCAATGCAAGGATTAACTGTTCGTCAGATCACATAACGACGGTGTGCAGATTGAAAAGGTTACTGTTCCACATAAGAGCTGCAAGATGGAAAAGGTGAACTTAGTTTTGAAAAACCCTGGGCTTTATTTCAAGCACATATGCCTTCTAATCAGTTTATGTGGGAAAACTTTTATTTAGCCAGGCTGTGATTGCTTGCATGTTCCACCTCCACATGGGAATACAATGAAGATGTACCGTTAATCGAGCAGCACTTTATCATGTGTAGGTTCACCCACTCCCCATCTATTGTGTAAAATGGCCTCCAACAATTTTCTCGCCGCAGGATTCACTTGGGGGCAACACGAAAACATTGATGATTGCATGTTTATCTCCTGCGGATAACAATTACGACGAGACACTTAGTACATTGCGGTATGCGAACAGGGCCAAGAATATCCAGAACAAACCGAAGATAAATGAAGATCCCAAAGATGCACTACTTAGGCAGTACCAAGATGAAATTGCTCGCCTGCGGCAGTTGCTTGAAGAACGGCCATCGACTGTCCAGACATCCGACTTGATCTCTTCTGACAACTCATCGGACATTTTTGCCAATGCTGAGGAAAGAGAAAGATTGAGGCAGGTCAGAAATCTTCTCTTTCATTTGTTCACATTTTGGGCTATGATACGTTTTCATTCAGCCAAACCCGAACAGATTGTGTTCACAGAAAAATCGCTGAACCTTGTGAAATCCAGGAATGGTATTGATTCTCAGACTACAATATTCGGCCTCATTAAATTGGTATTTAATCACTCACCGCTTTTCGGTGCCAGCACCCTGACTTTTATTACCGTATTGTTTTATTGGTATGGTTCGTGTTATCAAATACCAGCATTAAGGCTGTGAAACCCAGCACTTGTTCTCAAACGCTATCTTGTTTCTGATTCCATATGCTTACCATAGATTTTATCGGTTGGAAGCCAAACACTGATTCGTATTACTAAGACAGTGAAATCTCTTTCGACGTCAATCGGCTTCTTGGTAGAGTAAAACTCGGAGTGAGGTCCGGAGTCGCCAGTGCCGATTCCAAATTTTTTCAAACAACAGGACAGAAATCCCTTGTTTCTTTTCGGAACATTTGTGTTGCCTTCATAAAGTGGAAGTAGAACGTACGGGAAACAACACGACGCATATCCTTTTGTCGAGGCACAAAATGGCTATAACCCTTTCATGTGACAGACTTTTCGGATCCTGTTGGCCAGTCAGAGTTCGCCGCTTATGCTCATCATTAGATGTGTAGTCCCTACTTCTTAATGTACGCATCCCAAGCGAACTTAGTCTTGGACAGTACATATGATCAGCATGCGTTAATCTCATTTGATTTTGTGGTTTCAGGAATACGAGGCCAAATTGCGTGAGAAGGAAGCTCAGTTTAATGCTGAGGCTGCTGACAAAGCAAAACTGCTCGAAGAAATCCAACGATTGCGAGCATTTCATGACTCAAAATTCGGTCATCCTGGAGAACATGAAAATGACTTGCTGTTGGAGGAATGTAAGTATCCAGCTGATGAATCGTGGCCGATTGCGGATGTTTATGTTGTAGGGCTACCGATTATTCAAGCTGGCAAATCAACTTTTACATGATCCATTCACGTATTTAAAGGTTTGCATCGTGCGCTTGCTCAAAGATAAATTCCTCCCTTGGACTATGAGTGAATGGCGTTCTGAAGTAGCATCCTTAAACTAAACAATGCAGGGTAGTTCCCCACCCCGCCAACCTGGAAAACGTTCGTTTGATTAGGTTTTAGGTCCTCTTCTGGCTCAGAAAACAAATCCAAAGAAATCAGACTGGGTCAACAAATTCTCAAACCCGCGCCAGGATTTAGAGTGTCAACATACGTACCATGGTCCGAAAATCGCTAACATCTTAGGCGCCTACGTAGCGGTTGACTCTGGCTAATTTGAAACGTCTGTGCAGAACTGAGTTAGATGACAGGTGCATGACATCTCTAAGGCCAATCAAAACCTAACGTGGTTGAAGATTATGACAAATGGTCATCAGCCTTCCGCATTTCAATTCAAGCCTCAAATGTGTCGACGATAACCGATCTCCACGTCACTCTTCAGTTTTGTCATTAATGGTGTCATTTTTAATCACATATTATATAGTTCAAAGTAAGCAAAGTGTGATTTTTTCATACCTTGATTTATTTTACGATGTAACTGTAATGGATAGCGTAACACTGTCCGTGGGTGTCTTCAGTCAGAGCATCATTCACATAAATCGACGTAGATCACTAGCTAACAATCACCTGGGAGTACTACGTAAATCCATTTGTTTGAGAAACTACAGCACTCCTGGCATTCATACAGTTGACTCATCGTTCCACGGGAATTAGTCACAGTAAAGCGGGTAATACGCTTTACTCCTGGTAGAGTCAGCGGGCTAGTTTTGTTATGAAAAACGAAGTTTAACCCAATGTGTTTTGGTGCCAAACGATTATTGCCAGAAACATGTTGGTATCAGTTCGCAGTAGTGTTTACTTTCGCAAAACACATCATTATATCCGGATTTTCACCATCTCAGCGGCCGAGTATCCACTTCTTGATACTCACATTTATTAACTTAGATAATCGATCTCAGGCATTCAAGGTATCGAGGATGCTAGATTGACGAACATCCGCGCGCAAACCCAAGACACAGGAAAATCAAAACGATTGTCAGTTACTTACTCGGTTACTGTAAATGGTTTCAGCCGTAGAGGGTCCATCCTCTTTCGTTGGCCCAGGATAAAAAGGTGCTGGCTGTGCTGTTGGAAACAGTGAAGTATATATCTGAGCAAATAATTCATAATGGGCCCATACCTCCTATTCCATAAGTATTGCCCCTTAGTGCCTAAACACGCCCAAGTCAAGCAACGGGGCTTCTCATCCATCAACACTATAACCTCCCGTTTCCATGAGTTGCTTTCTTAACCATCTATTCATAGCTTTATTCCCACGTCAATGAAAAACGTCGAACTACTTCATTGGGCGAACTTCCTTTCAACCATTTTGAAAGTTTCCTCACGATTACCGTAACACCGGACCATACAATATGTTGTGATATACTTTACGTTCCGAAATGCGTTTTTCCGCGTTTGTGCAAATTATTGACAGACAGCTTTAGGCAGAAACATCTGAATAAGTATTGTTTTGAAAAAGCATTTTTCAGAGCATTTGTGCAAGGCGCGTGTCCCTGTAAATGACATACAAACAAACACTACGGACCACAACGCTCACTACGAACAACTTCCACAAATACAAGGATTATCTCAGCAGGACAATCTCATAGCTCTTTCTTGATGGGATTATAGCATACCGTGTCTTCACAAATCGATATATATATACGGGCATATCTGTGTCCCTGCCACGGTGGGAAATTTTTCGCTGGCTTGAAACACGAAAAGTTTGGACTTTGTATAAAAATTTAACGAACATAAATGGCTATCACATTGGTAGGCTGGACTTTTGAACCATCAAATGTTTTCGAAGTTTACATGAAGGGTGACAAAGTGGTGTAGCAGTTTTACCCGGTGATCTTCAGCTAGTCATCAACCACCCATTCACATCAAATCAGTTCACGTCTATCGAGGTGTATCTAATACAAGCCGGTGACAAACCACTACATTTACTCATACAGTGGTGGTCAGATCCCATAAGTTTCATCTATTGTGTTGTTATCCATTAGCACGAATTCTTCGCCATCACACACGAAAAACTGAGTCTGTTGGTGTTAGCACGACAGGCACGGCCTCTGCTGTCGCCAATGAACAATATGCGTTTGTCAGTACATCAGGTTGGTAGACTGTTTCAGTTTGGCTGTTTCTTATTTTTGTTCCTGCTCATTTGTTCAAGAATTTTCGTCTTCTGTTGCTATCTGCCTCGATTCTTTAGTGGCACTCATAGGCAGAAGCGCAGAAATATCTTTGTAACTTTTTGGATGTGGCACCGTATTTCTGATACTGTTTCTACTTCAGGCTCTGAGTTTTGGTTATCAGTAGCTTTTGGTCTATACTATCCTTTCCAGATTCCTTGGCGTGCAGCTCCGTGCTTGTCATTGACCAGGAAGGCACCCTTCAAAGTCAGGATGTAGATGATAAATTCACTACGAAACACAAAGGTCTTCTGATTTCCGCCCCAAAGTCAACAACCTCACGCAACGCAGTCATACGTTCCATGGATGGTAAACTGACAAACAGGACACTAACACAGTCCACCACAAAATTGGCTCTTGAGTCACTCACGCGTGATGAACTGTTGGAGCGGTGAGTTACATGGTGATCCTTAACAAATATGGAGCTAGTAAGAACCTAGTACACAATTTACACCCCCAAGATTTATCCTATGGTGGGCACGTTTTCACGAATACTCTTCCTAGAATGTTAGTTTAGAGAAAAATTGCAGCATGCACGAGGAGACCGGGACGGTTCAGGAAACGTCCCAGAAATTGCCTCGTAAAATTAACTTGGTTATTTCACGGGCTACTTACGTATGTCCTGCCACAGAGATTGCATCGCATTTGAGACAGTTTGCTTAATAAGGGTCTCGGCATAGTGGTTCTGATCTCCACAGTCAGTACTTAACCGTGGGTGACAGTCTATCTGAACCTGATTGGAAGGAGGCAAGGTTTTTCTGAAGGGTATCAAACTGCGGTACACACACCCAGATTCTAGTTTGTGGTACACCCAAGGTGGTGCAGTAATATTGTGATTACTTACAAAATCTTCAAATTATAAAGCACATCAAATCACCCATCGAGACCATCACAATTCATCCTCGGAAAAACTACTGTTCTACAAACCTCAACCAGAATGCCATTTAAACTCAAGTTCTAATCAACTCCCATCCACGATTAAACTCGGGCACTTTTGACACTCTTGCTTTGAATTCATGTGCTTCCACCTTACGATATGATGCTGATTCAACATCGTTGCAGCATGTCTGCATGCGTTGGCTTGTGGCTCGACGAGCACGTGTTCTTCCGAGCTTACAGTGCGAAAAAGAATGTCGAAATTTGCCTGAAACTGCCTGTAAGTTAGTCCACATAACCTGGGCTTACTCACGTCCTTGTAACCTGTACAAGCTAGCCTCGATTTTTGCTAAACCAAATCCTTACGGGAGTGAGGCAAATATATACAGCAAACGCAAAAGTCGAAGAGAAACTCTCTTGAAGTCGCTGCACCAACTGTTCAAGGCCGAATATTTGCTCTCCTTGACCATCTCCGTCTTCAGCTGGTGGTAATTCTGTCGCATGTGACGCAGCAAACTAATATTCAGGAGCTCAAATTTGCACATGCACGTAATCAAGCAGAGAAGTGTGGTATAGTAAGAATGCTATGCTATCTACATTTAGTACGGTTTGATTTTTCCAGATGCATGGCAGACAAACATTCCCCCTACAAAATCTTTTGGAGATTACGGACTCGTCCCGTAGTGACAGAGATCAGAAGTGAATCGGTTCATCTGAATCTTTCGCTTCTTTTCAGACTTTCCATACTGGAGGCAGGTATGGTCGGTGGAGAAGAAGCCAGTAATCCTGAAATAAGAGCCCGGCATTCGCGCAGGCAAAAGTATGCGGAAGAGCGCAGGCGGCGCCTTGAGCAAGCCAATGCAGCACTAGAGGATGAAGGTATAATGGTTGGGATATACGAAACAATTCAAGAAGAGCTGTGTCACAAGAATAAACTTCTTCAGCGTGAAAAACAGAAGGTAAATTCACTGTTTTTGGAAGTTATTTTTTCCGATTATTTTTGCCCAGTTCGAAGTGATGGGCGACACTTATCTGGTTGCCTTAGACTGATGCTGTATAACATAAGAATGTTTTCAGCAGCACTAGGTTTCATTGTGTTAAATTCGGGCGTTCAGTCGTGGAAGCTGGGTAGACCTTCCGGAGCGTTGCGAAGAATCGTGGGTCACCTGACACATTAAATAAATGGTATTGTCTAGTGCACTTGCCAGTAGACCAAAGTGCTTTCCGCAACACAAAATATTCATGAACTTTCATTTGTTTGAGAGATTGCGAACCAATAATCATCAACTGCAAGTTAACCACCGGTTTGAATGAAGGATATAAACACGACTATTTTGATACCTTTGCTATTTACATGACTCATCTGTGTGCGTGCTGCCGAGAACTTATCTGTGCAAAATTGTTTGACCCCACCGTCTTTGAAACCCCAGCGACTAACATCCGAATGGTAGCGATTGCCTTTTCATGACCATTGATTCTAAAACTTTAGTTCTAAAATTTCAGGTTGGAATCCTGAAACCCCGACCTTTATGGATGGGAAGGATCAATCTTGATATAACACCACCAACAAGGACTGATTTTTGTGTTTTGAAAAAAAACAAGGCGTCTTTTGATGCAGGATGTTGTATCGTTCTAAAGCGAGCGGATTCGAACCCTGGCACTGCTAGTAACATTGCAGCTGTGAGTACTATTCTCAGAAATGGTACAATAAACCACTTACTGTCCACTGAAGTCACGCCTTCCATCAGTCCTGAAGTTCGATACATGGAATCCTACAACACTTTGAGGTGTATTTTCGAACAGTTTTGAGAATGCATTTGTTCAGCACTGAGTGCTGTGCAACCATTTACCTATTGAGGTTATCTAAGTGGGTCTTCATCCGGAAGCTTAGGAAGAAGATTGCCGAACTGGGAGTAATGATGTATTGCCCATATATTTTTACAATTCATAGTTATCCTGTGATTGTGACAACCCAGCAGATGGAGTAACATACTGCTAACGACATTACTGAAGTTACACACGTCTTTCACAACTTGAGGCGTATTTAGTCAATTGCCACAACATTCTAGCTCTGTGCGTTTGTGTGGTTTTATGTGTGAAACATTTTCTGCTTGCTCCCTTCGTGCACACACTTCATACAGCCCCCATAGGTCAGTCACAGTTAATCAGCTTGATCAAACCGTATCAACCTGAATGCCTCACTCCGGTTCTAGATGACACAAACAAGTGAGTCGGTGACCGAACGGTTTAGGTCATGCTTGCTCTGTCACATGAATAGTTCTTTGTCCGGTGAGTGATGAGATAGAAGTGGACACACAAGTAGAGGCTAGGAGTTAATTCGCGTCATGATATGAATCCAGTTAAGTGGGCTTATGTGTGGAACAGCTTCATGGCATGTGATAGGACACTATTTTGCGGGCGACCACTACAGCATTCGAAACCGAATATTGAAGTGAGGACCGCTACGTAGCTCAGAAAAGATGTGTTGAATACATTTGGCCTATATGAAAACATCCGACCGAATTACGACCACTATCAAATAGTGTGTAGTATTGTATCTGTGGGCCTTAAAGACTATCATTCATTCATCTTTCCCGTTTGTTTCAACACCTCACTAGATTGAGTATACGGCAATCAGATGAGAAACGCAACCAACACATCATGAACCCCACATTTGAACAACCAACAGTGATCATTTGCATTAGCATTCTACCTTCAGAATGCCTACGTTTCAAACAGTTTATCCACTGTTCGAAGCACCCCAGTCGAAATAGTCGGTGTACAACGTTCACAGATCGTCCAATGGCTCAGAAGCGAGCGTAAAGTGCTACAAATCTATTACATGAAAAATACTTGGAATTGATTAGGTAGTCATCGTTTCCGAAAAAGTTTGGTGACAATCGGTAGATTTATTGCCGGGCAACGTTTCTCTCCTGATACAAAAGCTTCATCAGGCCAAGTGACTAGGTTCCGAGGTTGGTCGAGATTTAAGGCGGAAGAAGAACCAATCAGCCAAGTCAAGCCAAACCTCTGTTGGGTGTCGGCCGAGGGATTTTAGTGTGTGAGAGTGGTTGAACAAGTGTTGGGTCGGTGGGGAAACCTGTGTTAGGGTACAACCTAGGGTCTAGTTCTTCTGGTACGGTTCCTTTGATGGTACCTCTTGAACTTCGTTTGAACTTTCTGTCAGTCTATGTGGGTGAGCTAGTGCTAAGATAGTTGGGTAAGAGGGATCCTGTGACCTTCGGTCGGGTTGGGATTTCCACCTCCATCCTCCGGTTTTTTCTAATGATCCTAGGTGGATTGACAACCACACCGTCACCTGTCAACTCGGGTTATCTAAGACCGCTTTCCATACACTCGTTAGCTCCACACCCTCGATTCTATTCACGCTGTGATGCTTAGTAATTTCCACCGCCTCGGCTATCAGCCGCTGTGGTGTGAATCGCAGTCTCCCTCTTAAAACTTTCACATTCTGCAGACCTATTCTATGTTCCGTGCCTAAGGCATGTACTGCCAACGCTGAGTCTTTGACCACCGTTTGGTTTTCTTCTTCATTCCTTGGTGGTCTGGTAATCCTTCTTTTGTTCTCACCGATTCTGGTGTGCAATTCCCTGGCAGTTTGTCCTATATAAACCTTAGCAAAACCGCTGCAGTTAATTTTATACACACAGTCCCTAGTCCTTTCAACCGGCAGGGTATCTCTCAATTGCACCAAAACTGAGCGTAGCATCTTTCCCCTCTAGAAAGCTACTCGAATGTTGGCTAAGTTCAACGGTCTTCGAATAACCTCCGATGTTCCTGCTTTATGGAATGACTGCTGTGCCGATCCATTCATTACTGAGTCTTGATACTGGAAGCAATATCTTCCTTAGTTGACGCCTAATCAAACTCACTGGGTATCCTATTTCTTGAAATTCTTTGGTTATCTCGATTTGAGCTGCCGTCCGATCGATCTCTTCTGTGCGCAGCGCTCTAACTCGACGAAACATCGATGAAACAATACTGGCATGTGCTGGGTGTGCTGATGAATAGCTTAAGACAGTTTCTGTGTCTGTCGGTTTCTGGTAGATAGTCGTTTTCAATTTCCCACCAATCTTATGTGTTATACAGTCCAGAAAGGGTAATGTGACCGAGGTGGACTCTATTTCCATGCTAAACTCAATGTGTGGGTTTAAACTATTAAGATAGTCGTGGAAGCTGTTCACGTTATCTCGTTTGATTACAACAAACGTGTCGTCAACATAACGCCAAAAAACTTTGGGCGGACAATGATATCCGGTCAAGGCTACTGGTTCGAAGTCTTGTATGTAAATACTGGCTAAAACTGGGGATATTGGAGATCCCATTGCAAGGCCTTGGTCTTGTGAGTAAACAGTTGTGTCAAAAACAAACTGGTCAAGATTCAAACACACTCTTATGCCCTCAACTAGTTCATCCACCGAGAGCTGTGTCCGTTCCCCGAGTGTCGTGTCTGCCAGTAACAACCTCTTAGTCACCTCAAGAGCATCTCCCCAGAGATGTTTGTGTGCATTGAGATTACGTCAAAACTCACGAGGACTTCATCCATCTCCAAAAGAAGCCCTGCGACCTTGCTGTCAAATTCGTACGAATTCCTAATGAAGGTGCTTGATTTCCCCGTGAGCGGTTTTAGTATACCAGCTAAAAATCTGGCCAGTTCATGCGGCGGTACATCTGCCTGGTGGATTTTTGGCAGTCCATAGAGTCGCGGTTGAATCGCACTTTTTGGATACAACCGATACCACTTACCTTGCCCTAACTGATTTATTACGGATCTTAAGTATCTATCAACTTCAAACTTGCTCTTATTCATTATTGCTCATTATTACTCATTATTACTGCTACCGGTAATTTGTCGATGAGGTGTTGCCTGACCTTTTGAAGATAGTCGCTCTTGTTCATCACTGCTGTGGCTTTACCTTTATCGGCCTTGGTAATGGCAATACTATCTACCTGTCTCAGTGTGTTCAACGCTCTCCGCTCTGATGGTGCAATATTTGGAGCTCGCGGCTGTTGGGATTTCAGGACTGTGACCAGTTGTATCCGTAGCTTTTCAGCTTCCGCTGAAGGAAGCTTTTGAAACATTGACTCTACAGTAGGAATTATTTCCTTCGCTCACAGCGAAGTTTAGTCCCTTTTCTAACAGACAGCGTTCGTCTTTACTAAGTGGTCTATCTGACAAGTTAACTACACCACAGTAATTGGTGGATGGTTTCTTCGTTTCTGTGACCTTTCTGGGTCCCTGAGTCATGGGGAGCAGTTGTTCGAACTTACGGATCTGCCTATCCTTGCAGTACTGGCCCTGTGTAAGCTTCACTTTTGTGGCTTTGGTGTTGAGCATCTGGAAGTCGGCGGTTGAGATTGCGGTCTGAAGATCTTGGCTGAGTTGACTGGTGTGGCGGCGTACATCGGTTAAACGCTGGGTGGTTAGGTAGATCCTCTGTTTGAGGAATGACTTGGCCGCTGACATAGCAATTTTAGCAGAAGCAGCTGACGTATCCGGTGGCTTCACAATCAGGGAGTTGGGAATGATGTTGTGCTTTAAGCATCTAA